AAAACCCTGTCTCTTCCAGTTTATCAGTCTATATACATACATACTCAAAAATATTGTTATTGGCAGAGCACTGTTCAGTAGCTACTTTATATACAAAGTAATTTTATAAACAACATCTCCTTGTATGCATATCCGAGAAGTATTTGTTTCTTTTTTTAATGGCCATTTAATGCAGCTGTTAATGGTTAAACAACTGTGAACTTTTCATATTTTTTTTTAAATGTGCTTAAGGTAAATGAGATGTCTTTCGTCTTATTGTATTTTAATATAGAAAATAATAATAGATCTACAGTTTAAATAACCTATTCAAATTTTGGAAATGGAATGGATTTCATTAGTAATACATTTCATCAAAAAGATGAACATTTTGGGTTGGGTCTCATTATAATTATTATTTTTTTTTAAATACATCATTTTTTTATTAGATTTCTTCTAACTTGCAAAAAAAAAGCAACAAAAATTTACTTTACAAGGGGAGACAACTCCAACAACTCTTATAAAGTATAGTGTGGTAAAATTAACTATTTCGGTGTGTAGCAAGAGAACGATTCCCTTGAAAGCAAATATTAAGAGCCAACGTCTCATAATTTAACTTAAAATCAAATTGTTATGTTGTTTTCCATAACTAAAATAAAAAAATCATGTGAGACAAAAGGAACTATTTTTTTTGCTTTTGAATAGTTCTTTGATCAACTAGTATGCTGTTTACCATATTTTTAGAAAGCATGGTATAGACTATATTTTAGAAAATTATTACAAATCATAACAATTGACATAGAGACCCGCTATTCTACCTTAAACTGATAACACAACCATTTTTTGAAAATTAAAACATTCACTTTTCAAAAACTGTAGAGAAAACAGGAAAAATATTCTGACGATTTTTATCATTAATTATGATAGAAATTGCAAATGGACTTTGTTAATACCAAAGAAGTTGACAATGGGTTTCTATATGAATTTACCGGTACCCTAAAAATCAAAGAATACTATAAACACATATCATTTTTCAAATTATTTGTTCTACCATAATATAGCTACGGAAAACTGTTTTATTAAAGATTTATGGCAAGTAGCTATATCATGGGAAAACAAATAAAAAAACCCTTCTTTTTTCACTATAAAGGATATGTTTCATGGTTATTCCAGTGTAATTTTGGACTTTTTGTGTGCTTTGAGGTTAATCCGTATGGACCAGTCGATGGTGTTTATGAATTTTGTTTAATTGAATTTTGAAAATCTAAGGCTTAGACAATACAAGTATAGGAAACTGACCACCATTCACAGTTGTATTACCACTAACAGGTTCCTTGAATGTAATTTGATTCTGATCCCCATCCACATTACTACATTGTCTAATTTCTGCTCCAACACTACCTTGTACACATTCTCCACCTTCCAAAAATAGTTGCAATGTATAGCATGTTCCAGCTAACAACAATAGCGGAGCTCTAAACATTAAAACAACAACATTGCTCTGGCACTCAATACGACGATCTATTTTACCAATTATTTCATTCGAAGTGGTTTTAAAGAGCTTAAGTCTGGCAGAGAAGGATATATGTGCCTTGCCGTAAACACCTACAGACCGCAAATTACATGTTGTGTCTACTGTAAAGGATAGTCGTTCTCCATCTATATTATTGCACGGCAATAGTGTATTGGTATTACATACCATAAATCTGTTGACCACGATATCATTGTTGGCTTTGTATAATCTAGGTGAACAAATCTTTTTGTATTTATCATCTTCAGTGAAAGAAATGTCCTCAGTGCTACTGATGTACTGAAATATTTTATTACACATATATGTTGGAAGAATGTGGTCGAACACACATCTACTGGCAAAAAAAGAAATGCTCATTAAGCAGAATCTGATATGGGGTGCAAATAAATCCCAAATGTCAGGTGCATCATTGTTACTACAGAACACCGATATCAAATCAAAAAGAAATTCCTCGCTTACAATCAAAGAGTCTCTGCTGACAACCTTGATCATAAGTTGTATAGGAAGTGCATAAAAGTCCTCTACAAAGTTGGCACCAAGGTTAACAAATTTAGCATCTATATAGTTAAAACACATGTCCTTAACAGTATTTAAATTAAACTGATCTGAAATCATCAGAAAATTAAAAACATTGGCATCACAAACTGACTTTTCCAAAAATGACTGGCAAGCTGCTAATAAGTCGTCAATCAAGAAGAATGTTGATGCATGAAGAATATCAGTTACATTGGTGTAGGTTATATCTATAGGAATGTCATATAGAAAATCAATGACCTTTTTCATGGTACCTATCTGAAAATTGTTGCAGTTGACTACTATCTGATCATGATTAATATTGGAAGCACTCCATTTCTCCGACAATTTTTCCTCAAAATAATTACTTGATGTCTGCAAAATAACAGAATGGCAACTTATGGCATTGTCATCTTCACAGACCAATTTAACATTACAAAACTTTCCTGCACGGTATGCCTCTTGTAGTCTATCTTTAATAGTCATGGTATGGCTGTAAAAGAACGTAATCATAAAGCTGTATTAATTCTAAGCTTTTCATTGCATTATATTCAACCACTTTTTTAGAGGGTTGCAAAAAAGTATTTAAAAAAATAATAGGATATGTCACTTTTTGATTTTCATGTATTCAACTTTAAGCATTCCTGATGAAGGTAGAGCTACAAAAATAAATGTGGAATGTGTCCACAGATGATGCCTCCGCTAATAAGCATTGTGTATAAGTTTTGTAACATGTGGTTGAGGCAAACTAAAATTAGAGAAGGGAAACGAAAAATGTAGCAATTTTTCCATTTGTAAAGGGGCATAACTCTAGAATGGTGAAAGTGACGCCACCAAAATTCAAACTTGATCTGTATTTAGTGGTAATAAGCATTGTGTATAAGTTTCATAACATTTGGTTGAGGCAAAATAAAGTTAGAGAACGGAAACCAACTTTGGGATGTACGTACGTACAGACGGGCAAGGGTTAAACTTAATACCCCTCTGTTACGGCGGGGCATAAAAAAGCACTTATTGTAGAGAAATAAAAGTATAAAGTAATATTTTTATTGTCACCATGCAATATGAATACAAATTTATGAATAGAACATTTAGAGAAAATGTATTTATTTTCATGTAAATAAAAAAGAAACATCAACATCTATTCCTTTACATTCATATCTAATGATATATAACTCTTAGTACAATGTTTTCACTAGTTGGTATGTTTACATATGTATATATACAATATGAGGTCAATGTCAGAAAAATATAAACTTTTTTGTATGAGGCTCAGAAACTGGGTAAGGGCGAGGTTTAACCAAGCCCTTTCCCAGTTTTGTGCCGAATACAAAAAAGTTTATATTTTTTTTAAATTGACATAATAATGTTTTTATACTGCAACTTAAATAAATACATTGATAGCTATTTAAATGTAACACAAATTTCAAACTTATTTGGATCCCTTATTGAACCCCTGATTGTGGAAAAAGTGTTCCATGATGAAATTGACATTGCACAAAATATGACTGTGTTACTATATTTAGGAAATAAACACAACTAGGTGCAGTATAAATGAATATATACTAATATATGCACAATATTATTTTCATTCACATAAAATTTTCTATAATGATAAAGTTACACAAATAAAAACATTTTTTTACTCCTCTCACAGAAGGATATATTAAAGGATAAAATAAATGGGGAATGTGTCCATAGGACACAGATGATGCCGCCACTTGCATATCATATTAAGTTATAAAGGGACACAACTGAAGAATGGTGAAAGTTTATGAAAATTTATATGTAATCTAAGTTTTGTGGTAATAAGTATTGTGTATTTCTGAAAATTTTGTTGTGGAAAACTAATGTTAGAGAACAGACACGATAAATTCAGTAATTTTTCCATTTGTAAAGGGGCATAACTCTAGAAAAATAAACGTGACACCCCCAAAAATCAAACTTTCATAACATTTGGTTTAAGCTAACTTAAGTAAGAAAATGGAAATGAAAAATTCAGCATTTTTTTCTTTTGTAATGGGGCGTAACTTTAGAACAGTTAAAGTGACACCACCAAAATCATAACTTAATCAATGTTTTGAGGTAATTAGCATTTTGTACAAGTTTTAATAACATTTTGTTGAGGAAACATAAGTAAGAGAAAGGAAATGAAAAATTCAGCAGTTTTTCCATTAGTAAAGGCACATAACTTTAGATTGGTAAAAGTAACACCATCCAAATCAACCTTGATCTGTATTTTGTGGTAATGAGCATTACATATAAGTTTCTTTACATTTGGTTGAGACAAACTAAAGTAAGAAAATGGAAATGAAAAATTCAGCAATTTTTTCATTTGAAAAGGGGCATAACTCTAGAACGGTTAAGGGGATGCTACATGTACCAAAATTCAAACTTGATCTGTGCTTTGCAGAATCAGCATTGTGTTTAAGTTTCATTACATTTGGTTTCGATAAACTAAAGTTAGAGAATGGAAACCAACTTTGGGATGTACAGACGGACAAGGGTAAAACTAAATGCTCCCTCCCCTATAGCAGGGGACATAAAAATTTTAAACAAGAAGAGTAGGGTTCACAACTCCCTCAGAAGACAAGACAGAAAATTTGCTTATAAAAAATTATTATCTTGTTATTATAAGCTGAATTTTCCCAATACTTTTCTTTCCTTTATGCATTGAAAATCAGTATGGGTTTAGATGTGGGTTTTAAACAAGGTTGTTTTTCCTGTTCTATTAGTGCTAATGCTGTATGAAATCTAATTAAAGGTAATAAAATGCCACTAAGAATAGGAACCTGAAAATTCATTTTTTTTTCAAATCAAACAAAGTTTAGTTTTGAACCATAAGAACATCAAAGTGGACCAATCTAGAAATAAGGTTTTAAAATCCAATTACAAAATGACATGTTATGAAAGAAGTACACTAAGTCCCTTTGATCAAGAAGACTAAAAATGAGGTCATCATGCTATCGTATGAGTAAGAGAATTTTGTCCTAGTTTGTCTGGGCGGAATAAAATTACTAGTTTAAAAAGTCCATGGTTACTACTAGTATATCTAATCCAATGTCAGTAATATGTCTCTTATAAAATGCTTTCAGAATATAAAAAGACAAAACGTGGTCATCATACATTTTTTTTACAATAACATAAAATAAAATAGAAAACTTTCCAGAAGATTACTTTCTAAATTATACATTTTCTGAGTTACCTCCCCTTATAACATGCAAATTTATAGAAAATTGAAATCAAGCAAAACTTTTTAAAAATAATGTAATCAAGGCCAAATATATTCTTTCCTTCAAATGAAAATCATTGTTTCTAAGTTGCATTCCTGCATCAGAATTTGCTGACTTAATTAAAGTATAGTCCCATTTTAAGATGGAAGAAGACACCCATACCATCTTAAAAGCAGTTGAACTATTTGCAACTATAGATCATTTTATATATTTCATTAACCTTTATTGTGTCAGGTTCTCCGACAGAAATAGACTAAAATTTAATTTGATCCAAAACATAAATCAAAGATTCAAGTTGCCCAGTTGCACAGAATAGAAAACAGTCTATATTGAAATGTTTGCCAAAATTGAATGTAATTTGTTGACGGTAATCCTCATATTGTTAATCTCAGATGAGACAATTATCTACTGGCCAATCAACCAAGTGACAGGTAAATTGATATATTACAAATGAAATATAATTTCACACAATTAACAGCTATGTATCAACATGGTAAAACAATATATATCATTAATAATTGTGATTTAATTCATGCTTATACATTTACATTCATAGCATCTCAACATCTAAACACACACAAAAATCAGTTTCAATGTTTGTAGTTATCACAAATTCTCATACAAGTTTATGTTGATTCTGAAAAGTTTAGTCTTCAAAGATTTTGTCACCTGACACATCATTAAGATACCAGTAACAAATATTGTCTCTTCTAGTTAGAGTGGATAATGATGACTTTATGATTTGACTGACACAAATAAGTCTTTAAAATCTGAAAAAATAATGATAAAAATTAGTGACATATTTTTAATACATCTAACTTCTGTTAATGTGCATTCATTTATTTTCATTATTACCAATTTTAAACTGATTGAAATTGTCCTTTCTTTTTTTTCTGTATTTGATGGTTTTTGCCAATAGTTGAACGTTTAAAGGGGCACTAGCTGTCAAATTCATGTTCACCGATTTGACTCAAATTCTCATATTTGATTTATAACAATGTAAAACAATTATTCAAACTATTAAAAGTCTAAAATAAACAATTTACAGGACATGGGCTCGATAATATGTAGCTAAGTTTCGTGTGTATTGTAGTCTAGACGCCATCTAATTAACTATCGAGTTGACCTCCAAAGTCGTCCGATGACCATATAAGCGATGTCAACATAAATATAGATATAAATAGATTAAGCGAACTTGTGCAATGGGATTTTTCTATGTCTTTTTAATTTCGTATTTTGATTAAAAATATATGTTTATCATCGTTTTTACCTGTATAAGAATGATTTTTGTGGATTGAATCAGTCAATCAAATGATTTACTTTTGTTTCACTTTCAATGTTGACATTCTTTTCCTTTAAATAACTATACACGAACAATTCATGCGTTATCCATCTCTAGCTAAGTGGTTAAATTGAAGTTCACATGAATACGGATTCAATGAGGTCGAATGATTCACTTGCATCAATGTTTCTTAGCTTATTTTGACAAAATTAAACCATACTGGCTGCTAAAAGCGAATAATTATTTCACTATTTCACTTTCATTAATGATTGAACAAAAAAAATCCCATTTTCGATTTTTATTATATCTCGTAGCTAGTGCCCCTTTAAATTTGTGATTTACCTATAACCATGGAATCAGTGGAAATTGGTGGTATCCGATGGATTATAATGAATCAACAGGAACTATTTAACCTTCATTAAATTGATTGAAAATATCATTATTTCCATTCTCACATACATATGAAACCTAAAAGTTTGTTGTTAGATGTGTAATTATGATTTTGATGAGTATAGCAAATACTCTTATTTCAAGGGAAATCTGCAAATTGCTACTTGTATACAAAATCAACATAAGTTATTGTGTATGACTAATTCTATTGTGTATATCACCAAATTTGCCATAATAGTACCTCTAGGATAGCAAGTTCTCCATTCTGTCCTTAAGATATATAAATAAATGCCGAGCATTTTGTACAGAATCAACTGCAGCTTGGATGTTTATATTGTCCCTAAGTTCAGTTAAAACTGCCTCAAAGTCTTCATCAATTTTATGAAATAGACTTGCTTCTTGGTGACACTGCTCATTGAAAAAATTTAATGTCAGCTCATCTGCAGGAATACAGAAATCTGAAGTACCTAAAACAGATTTTAAACTGATATAAATATTACAGAAAATGAAAACATAAAGAAGTTCATATCCTTATCATCATAAATTTTCATCTTTAGACAGTATTCTGTATTGTTCCAAGAGTGCTATGATGTTGTGGTGTAATTTTGTTTTCATGTAGTCAATCTATTCTCAATTTGAGTTTATCATCTTGTAATTTATGAAACAATTTTCATGAATTGTAAACTTATATCTTTAATTTTATATGTGTTGTTGCTCTGCCAAACACAATGTAGCATACAATGAAAAGTTGGAATAACAGTTGTGGAAAGTAACTCAGTCACCTAGCATGCAAATAATATATATGTCATGAATATATTAATGTTTTTCACTTAATGTTTACCAGGTATCAATTATTTTAATAATCAGTTAATTCAAGTAAATCTTCTTAAAACTTTTGAGAAAACAAGCATGCACATGTGTCATGATAATAACACTTTCACACACTATCAAAAGATTTGAAAACAGTAGTTAGATGTCTGGTAGATCAATAAGCTGTTGCACTTTAAAAATCTAACTGTGGAGCTCTTGGTCGAAATTAAAGTCATTCTGTTAAGTATCAGGAAAGTTTGTGTGTGTTTTTTTAAATTCATTCAACATATTGACTAAAATAAGTAGGGAGTTTCTGACAGATAAAAAAATCCTCACACTTAAAAACTCATTGCTATTACAAGTGCAAGCTGTTGAATAAATGTGAAAGCATTCTTTAAGAATTTTTTGAGAAAAGTGTGACACATATATTTGTTGGGCAAACAAGGTGAATGCAATGTAGGCCCAACTCGAGTTGTGGTAGAAAAGTAATTGATTAATAAATCAAGAATCTGGAAGCCAATTCATTAAATCATAGGTATGAAAAAAAAACTAATACAATTACTTGTACATGTATAACCAGGTGGTTAATATTATGAGAGGGGAAAAAATTCAAAAAATATGCATTGTATTCTTACCATAAACTTCAGGATAATGATATAGAACATCAGGTATGCCTGACAATATATCTCCCTGATTTTGTTTTCTTATATTATGGCTGTTCCAAAGAACTATAAGGTCTGCTAAATCTTGTTGAATTATCGGCAAATATACAAACTGCAGGCATATTCTGAAATGTTAATGGAGTATATTTCAATAAGATCCTAATATGATCCCTATTTAGAGCAATATGAATATCACAATGAATCATACATAAAATCATATTGTTGTAAAAAGATGTGGGTCTTTTTGTTGAAAAATTATGTACATGTAATAGCATTCTTTTAATGACATGAAGAACATATCTTGACTTTAATATTTATATTGACGAATTTCAATCGATTTAATTTACTACACGCAACTTTTCTTCACATACAGATGATTTTGTCAACTTTCATCAAAACTCTATTTTTGGCATAATTTGAGTGTAAATTTCAAAGTTTTTTTTACAAGAAATAGTTCTGTTTCACATTTTATGTGCATGAATATTAAACAATATTACATATGGTGTAGCATTCTTTTGTTTGCATTGGATATTAGGATCACATGTTTCAAAGGTTATTTTATGTATCCAAAGCCCTGGTTCTATTTTTATGTATATTGATGTTATGTTTCTATTTATATGTTTATTGACTCTAAATATAAAAAAAATCTTGCTAAATTTAGATTCATGACGTCATAACATGACACCGAACATACATGAAGGATTGAGCACTAGTAGACAAATAGAAAAGAAAATTTGCAAGTATATCAGAAAGAGATATCAATAATTTTATGTTAAATGCAGTTGCTGAGAATACAAGGAAGCTTACAACACAACAAGCTATGAAATAGTTCAAAGAATATTGATATTTTCAATAACATGTTAAAATTCTTGCAAAATACATTTTAAACAAGAATGTGCCCCTCTCGCACTATCATTTTCAATGTTCAGTGGACTATGAAATTGGGGTCAAACATATGTAATATCTAAATCAAGGACTTTCACTCAGTCAATTCGTTATATAACTATAATAAATTTGAAGAAAACACAAACAATTGAATAAAATTGTCATCAACCACCAATGACTAGAATAAGGAGTTTTCAGACGTTTTCCTCCAAATTGTCTTAATAGTAGATCTTTTCTTGATGATTTTGGTTTCCTATTATCTATTCTAATTTTTTTAATATAAGGCAAAAAATGTAATGAGTCAACGGATGATTTTGATCGTATTGTCCTATTTGTAGAACTTGTCTTGTTAATCATTTTTGTTATTTAAAGTTTGTCTCTATCTTGCATGGTTTTTTATTTTATTGTTTTGACACAGTGTCTTACAAGCCTACAGATAATTTGTACCTCATGGGACATTGATATTTGTGGTTCACCTATACTCATAAAAGTCAGCGACAATTGATATCCCACAAATAATAATCAACAGTCAATTGGAATACTACAATGATGTGTCCCACTGTTGAAGCAACTTTGCTACAATTTTCCCACTATATAGTTTCATTTAGGATGCAACTCACTTGTGGATTTGACTGTTAACATTCAATAAGCCATCTGCTTGAAGGCACTGTAATGAAAAATATAACTGGCTTAAAATCTATATCACAAGATATCGAAAATGAGCTGACAGCATTTTAGAAATGATTTGTACTTTTACATGCAGATGATATTGTTTTATTAGCAGAAAACAGCACTGATCTACAATACATGTTAGACACCATTTACAAATATTGTGAAGAATGGAACATGAAAATAAATACAAAGCATTGCAAAGTTTTGATCTTTTCGAGCGGCAGAATGCCAGCAAATCTAAAGTTCACAGTAAATTGTAAAAGAAAACAAATATTTAGGAATTTTACTTTCTAGATTCTAGAAGTGGATCCTTTTTATCAAATTAAAAATACTGTGGTATGTCGGAATCCAATATATAGAATGCACAGTTTGCTCATAAATGGGTGTCAAAATGTACTAAGCAAAATCTCAAAGACCAGTTTCAACAAGAATTGCTAAAACTTCATGTTATGGTATTTTTAAAAATAATTTAAGAAAAAAATTTTGTTTTTCCTTACAAATTCATGTTTACATTATGCAAATATATATGTGGTAGTCACCACTTGCCAACTGAGTCTGGACAGTGGCAGGGTCTACTGAGAGGACATTGGTGACGAGGACCATTACAATATGAATTGTGGAACATTTAAGTCGGAAAGAAAGAAATTTCAACCTAAATACAAAAACAGGCTCTCAAGAGCCTGAATCGCTCACCTGTATTTCAGAGGAGAAGATTTTTAAATGTTAGCAAACTTGATGAACAAATTGTGTAAAATTGTCTTTAAAGGGCAATAACTCCTTAAGGGGTCAATTGACAATTTTGGTCATATTAACTTTTTTGTAGATCTTACTTTGCTGAACATTATTGCTGCTTACAGTTTATATATATCTATAATAATATTTAAAATAATAACAAAAAACTGCAAAATTTTGTTAAAACTACCAATTCGGTGGCAGCAACCCAACAATGGGTTGTTGGATTTGTCTGAAAATTTCAGAGCTGATAGATCTTGACCAATTGAACAAATTTACCCCCGTCAGATTTGCTCTAAAAGCTTTAGTTTTTGAGATATAAGCCAAAACTGCATTTGACCCCTATGTTCTATTTTTAGCCATGGCGGCCATGTTTTTTGATGGATCAAAACTTCGGATACAATTTATAAACTAAATACCCTAAGGAACATTTAGTTAAAGTTTGAAGGTATTTGGCCCAGTAGTTTCAGAGGAGAAGATTTTTGAAATAGTTTACGACGACAGACAACGACAGACGACGGACGCCAAGTGATGGCATAAGCTCACATGGGGCCCTTTGGGCCCTGGTGAGCTAAAATTCAGCCCCTAATATCTATCAATTTGATCAACTGTTCAACTCATCAAATATTGTAATATTAGAAAAACTATGTAAATTTATCAAAGTTATTATTGCGAACCCAATGAAAGTTTTCCACAGTGCCATCTCTATCTTGACAAGGTATTTAAACTTTTGTAAGTTCACCTGTCCTATTGAATGAATACAATAGCTATTTTTCTCTGTGTAGTTTATTCACTGGGACCTTTAAATATCTTCTAAGAGAAATCTATCACTCATTGATTAATTTACCTGAGTAAAAAAAATTTCTTATATATAGACAAAAATACTTTTTTTATACTCGTTAACTGCGTGTGATGATGTATTATTCAATATTAATAATATATTTTCATTCAGTTTAATATAAACATTGATTCAATCATAAAAAGTGGATTTCAATCAAAAGTTTTATCAATGTTCCTATTGAAATTTGATTTTTTTTTGTCTAGTTATAGAGAACATTTAAGAAGATCCTAATTTGAACATTATAATTTTTAAGTTTTTATTCATGTCAGACAAATTTTTTTTTAAAAGGAACAATGTTGAAAGTTTTGTCGGAAATCAACTTTTTATGATTGAATCAATGTTTATATTAAACTGAATGAAAATATATTATTAATATATTATTAATATAACATAAATCAACGCTAACATGTTTAACCCCGCCACATTCTGTATGTATGCGCCTGTCCCAAGTCAGGAGCCTGTAATTCAGTGGGTGTCGTTTGTTTATGTGTTACATATTTGTTTTTCGTTCATTTTTTGTACATAAATTAGGCCATTAGTTTTCTCGTTTGAATTGTTTTACATTGTCATTTCCGGGCCTTTTATAGCTGACTGTGCGGTATGGGCTTTGCTCATTGTTGAATGCCATACGGTCACCTATAGTTGTTAATTTCTGTGTCATTTTGTCCCTTGTGGAGAGTTGTCTCATTGGCAATCATACCAAATCTTATTTTTTATATTTTATTTATGTTTCAACTTTGCATCACTGTTTACATTCAACAGATTGAAAATATATTATCATTTTGAATAAATATAACATCACATGCAGTTTTGAGTATATATGTATTTTCCTCTATTTACAAATTTTTTTTTTTACTGAGGTAAATTAATCAATAAGTGATAGATTTCTCTTAGAAGAAATTTAAAGGTCCCAGTGAAAAAACTACATGGAGAACAATAGCTATTGTATTCATTCAATAGGACAGGTGAACTTACAAAATTTTAAATACCTGGTCAAGATAGAGATGGCACTGTGGAAAACTTTCATTGGGTTCGCAATAATGTAAAAGTCAGTCCTTCAAGTTAATTTCATCGTATTGTTCACACATGCATGTAATAATTATACCTTATAGTTATATTTATGTATGTTCTCTATATAATTGTACTTTATGAGAAATAAAGTATTCATATTCATATGAAAGAAACACTTCTTCTATCAGTTATATTACCCATGTATAAGTTTGGTATTGCTATCACATCCCTTTATGACTAACTTGACTTTTTTTTTTGTTTGACCTAAAACTCTACACCCTTATGCATCTTAACTTTTCTTTTAACTTCTTAACAGCGAAGATGCTACCATTATGAAGGTATACACAGAAATGGAACTTGAATGGGTCCTTTTTTGATTTGTCAAAGATAGCAATGGGTTTCAATTTCACCAATGTCGAATCACAAAAATTTTAAAAAGATGTAAGACCGATATATACCATTTTGCAAGGTTTTGACAAAATTTTCATGAATAATCCAATTGGCTCTTGAAAACATATTATTGATCAGAGCAATTCAAAAAGAAATCTACAGTTTCCTCTACAAATTGGTTACCTTATTTTCAATGAGGCTTCCCTGAATACCAATTGCATGTTTTAGTGGAACAGTCCTGAATGTGTTTTTATTCAACAGTGAAGTTGCTTTGAAACATGTCTTAGATGCTTTTTCAATGAATCATAAAAAGAACAAATCACCTTATATCAAAATTACAAACAATAAAATAAAAAATGCACATACTTTGAAATGATTGATCCAAAAGTCTGACTTGCTTTGCCTTAACCAACCCCATTGCCTTTCAATTCTCTGAAAAAGTTAAAATATTAATCACTGAAAATCTGATGAATTATAGCATTCTAACAGAAAATCCTGTAACAATGTTGTTAAGTACTACCTGGGTTCAATACATACAAAATTACCAAAAAATCAAAATAACTGACCAATAGCATATACTTTATTATTAACAGATATCCTAATGAAATATAGCAGAATTATAAATTTCTTCAATTAAAAAAATTGAGAAAAAATAGTCAGATAGCTTTTGTGAGTTTAAGAAATCAATCTGGATTTGCTTAGAATCAGTCAGTCAAAGACAAATTATGTAAACAGGTATATATACAAATTACACCTTAAATACCTGATTAAAAACTGAGGAGCCATAAATCACAGACTTCTCATTGGAAGTGTGAGTGACTTGAATAGCTGCTGCTAACCCATTTTCGGTACCAGGGTCACATCTGATCTTGGTTGGAAAAGCTGTAAAATACATTGTATCCTTTCAACTTCACGACAGTTTTTCTTTAAAATAATTATGCAAGGAATTGTTTGTATAAATTTCAGTTCTCACAAATTATAATGGAATGGCACATTTGCTGTGTTGTTCAGATCAGATGTACCGGTTTTTGTACTATCAAACTTCCTTGAACCAGTACGCTCTTATATGCAATTAAAGGTATGTTGAATTTTTCACCACAAGTCAGGGTAAGGTATAGTTATGACATGAAATGACTGCCACTTTATTTGAACTTACAAAGTAGCCATAAATGCTTAAAATTGCAGAATTTAACTGAGAGTAATAGTCTATAAATAAGTGGTCTTATACCTTAAACACAAGTTATTGTCTGTAAACTAATGAAATGCTTGGTTTTTTGGGACCTTTTTTTGACACTAATTCATCAACATTTGGGGCAATTACTCCAAAACTCCAGCCCACAATTCCCTTTGTATAAGAAAATCTTGTAATACAAGTTCAGAGAACCATACACTTACACACAAGTAATAGTCCTGAAACTACACAAATATAAAAAAGAAGATGTGGTATGATTGCCAATGAGACAACTCTCCACAAGAGACCAAATGACACAGAAATTAACAACTATAGGTCATCGCACGGCCTTCAACAATGAGCAAAGGCCCATACTGCATAGTCAGCTATAAAAAAACTGTTGGTACCATTACCCCTAAAATCAATCCCAAACCTTCCTTTTGTGGTATTGGACCTTCTAGCAAAATTCAGAGATCCATTCACTTAAACTAAAGTTATTGTCTGGAAACCAAATGTGTCTTCGGACGAGGAAGACGACATCATAGCATTATACAAACGCAAATTTTTTGTGGTTGTATAATTACATGTATAACATTATTAATTGAATTCGATGTACATAGGGACACTAATATCATTTTGTGTGTACTAAAAATATTAGAGCTCTTTCAAAAAATATTTTATATATTATGTTTAAACTTGCCAAAAATTCACTGTCAATAAGGGTTTCACTGCACAATTCAATTTTTTCTTATTGGCCTAATGCTAGAATATTCAAAGGATACTTACAGGATTCTTTCTAGATATTGACACTGACTTTTTTGGTCTGATAATTCAAAAAGAATAGCTAATACAAACTGTGATGTTAATAATCTTGTATTCATTGGTAAACATAAGTTCATACTGAAATGACCTTTTTAAAAGGTTCACTATTTGAGGACCAGATTAAAAAAAAAAAGTATAAATTGAAGTTATTGCCAACCTTTAATGTTATCAGCTGCTTTCAGGAAGAAATCAGCTACAACTTCTGGTCTTTTATTGGTAATACTGGCACACATCCATATAATTTTTCTTGAAAAACTGAATGGAAAATAGAATTAATACAAAGTATTTATTCTTGTATAGTTCATCATATGCAAAATCTGAATGTTGATTACTAAAAAAAGAGTCCTAAGTGTACACATTTGACAAGATTATGCTCTGTCGGTCATTGTTATTCTTGCACAGATTTCATAAGAATATTGTTTTAACAAAATTTAGGCACAAGAATATATACTGTTAATTACGTAAAAATATGTCAAGATCACAAAACTTTTATGATAGTTTTTTTTTTGTATTGTTATATTAATGGGAGTTATATCTGTTATTGTTTATAATTCTGCCAGAAACCATTTTCATTATGTGTACTTGAGTAAAAAGTAAATAAACAAAAACTGTGTCATGTTTATCATTACTATCATTTTGCGTCTATTACAAAAAATTAAATGTATAAGTGGAATAAATTGTTCTTCTTACCCATCTACACATCCATGTATACATATGCCAAAGGGCTTTAGTTTGTCATAACCATCTACAAAGTAATTTCATACTGTAAGTTATATAAAGAAGTGAAATAGTAGATGTATATCAAAGGTGCATGTAATTAGCTGTGAATGTTTGCTTCACATCAAACCCATCAGACAAAAAAAAGTTATTTTGAAATATTCATCTGCTTTCTAGTATAACTTTCTTATTTGAATCAATTTTATTCATCAAGGCTTTTTGCAACAATGGTAACAGATTCATTAATAGGAACCGCATTCTTTTATTTTTATTATTTCTGTATTTCATGACACTTTCAGAGAATTCCAGAAATTATTGCATGGTTTTTATTAGTGTGAAAAATGTGACAGAGTGTTAAACGCAATAATTTGAACTCGCATTTTGAACTTTTTTTAAATGAATTAAACAGGATTTTTCTGAAAATCGTAAAAATTAAAATTGCATAGAAGTCTAAAACGAAAAAAATCACAATAATAAATGCACATAAAATAAATGGTACAAAGTTGCTTAAAATTAAACCAAAAATGACCCCAAAATATTTTTTTGGAAACAATGTATAGTTCTATATACAATATTTAGCGAAAAATCTCAAGTTGATGAATACTTATGGCCACACTCTGTATGTATCATGAGAATTAAATAATGAAATATAAAATTATGCTGCTTACCTAAGTGCCAAATATAGTTAGGACCCTGAAAAGAAATATGAACAGAAGTAAGTTGATGTAATTTGCAACTGGAATATTTCCGTATATTTTTGTTCATTTCATGTGGACTTAAAGGTCAGAATTTAATTTTCAAAGAGGACATTATACATACTTATGAACCGGTATCAAAAGTATTGTAGCCTTGAGTGCATGAAACTTCATAACTGTATGTGTAAAAACATTGAGGAATGATGTAGGGTTGAATGCAATAGTTGAAAACTGTAATGATTTTGATGACATAATTGAAACTGTAGGAATTGATCAAGGTACTGACTTTTCTTAGTAACCTGAAGATTTCAATTACACTGTATAATTTAAGAATTTACAACTATCAAATGACCGTAAATCTTTTTTTTTTTACTATCATAAAGAATTTGAAAAGTTTGAAGGAATGTACATGTTACAATGATGTAGGTTACTTAGTTACCCTCTTGCAGAATATATATGTATCAATACAAAAAATAATACTTACTTAACATGTACAACTAGAAATTATGGATGATGAAAAAAAAAACATTCAATATGACCTTTTTAATTTTTCTATTAAAAATGCATCAAACTTGTAAATACTATTAGTGTGCTAGTGACCAAATACATCATATATGGGGTCAGAAAATTCCATATGGGTGAAAGCATAATTTTGACAACACAAAGTTACCAAAAAAACTTGTTAGCTTTAAATGTGTTTTATGAATTTATTTCAATCGTTCATTTTTCATTTTTTCGTCTGTTGAAACCATTCATATTTTCACTCAACACTGTGTTGTTTTTATAAAGGGACATAACATCACTACTAACCTTGTATCAAAATAAGCCCGCCTACTAACCTAATATGAAATATTTTAACCATTCATATTCCTAGAAATGTATAGGAGGCAAGATGAGATTAAATAATGTTACTACAAACATGTATGTAGATCAGCTACAAATAAGAACTGAATTAAGTCCTTTTCTTCTTTAAATAACATACCTTGGATATGTATTGTCTTCTTCTTAATCTTCTACCTTTACGCCTTTTAATACCATCTGCATCTAAGATTCTAACAAGTTCTCTGGAAAGAGACCTAGAGAAAAAGTATCTATATAAATAATGTGCCAAAATGGTTTAGGATGCACGTGCAGAACCTTTTGATATCAAGGAGCCACAATGACCCATTAAAAAGTTTTTGGATCAAGGTTTGAAAATTATTATTAAAACTCCTAAACATGTTTGTAGTTGATGCCAACTGTTTATAGATCAACATTTAGTTACAAGATTGAATTACCTTGTTATTTGCAACTGGTATTTTATTTTCAAAGAACGACGTAAATTTTCACATCCATTACAACCATTCCTGATTTCTTTCTAAAATAACAAAACAAAATAAACAATTTTAAGAAAGGTAATATTGCCATGATCATATGATTATATCTAAATAGTGAAATTACAAAAAAATCAACACCTCTATAAAAGTTAAATTTTTTTCCTGTAACTTCAAAGAATTAAAAAAAGAAAAGACCTAGGTCAGCATGTGGCAGGAGTGTCATCAACAATGTACAAAATGTAGTAGGATGTAATGAGTTCAGTTTAAGAGTAACCACTAGATGTACATTGTACGTTAATGATTTTTGTTTGCAGTTCAGTGGTTCATTTTATATCTGTGGAGATTGTTTGGAAATGTCCCTCTCAGGCATGGTTTATTTTAGAAATAATTCATGGCAGCCATAGATTTGTTCTCATTAAAACACAGGTTGGGTTTTTATATACAATTATTTTATGCCGAGCGATAGCCATGGTTAAAGAATTACATTCCATGTATGTTTCATTATGATACCTTATTTTGATTGGCTAACAGCAATCTCGCGTCCTTCTGAAATTGACATTCATTACACAATGAAATGTAACATTCATGACACGAGGTCCCACAAAAAAATGCACAGGTAAATTAAAGAAAAACTTGATAGAAATCGTGTTTTCATGATCCTAGCTACAAAATGGAATAAGAAGTATTGAATTCTTCTTTTTGTAATTTTATAGGGTTGTAAAAGAATTTGACCGTGTGCAGATTTTTAGAATGAAGCGCACAAGCGCTTCATACAAAATGTACTTCGGTTAAAGCTTTTACGCCACGATGAATATGCAAAAAGAAGCATTCAATTCTTAAATGAAAATAAATCTATTACTGTATGTGTGGTAAGGGATTTATTTGATATCCCATATAAATATTAAAAAAGAAGATGTTGTATGATTGCCAATGAGACAACTCTGGGACAGTGGTGTAACAGTACAAAATAAGAACGATCTATAGACATCAGTTGAAAAAGACTTAACTCATCACATGGATATAGTATTTGTGATAACAAACAAATATATAATCATAAAATACTATCTCCTGTACAGCAGAAGTGAAAAATATCAATATTGAACTTTACATTGTCATCAATTACATCTTAAAATTTGAAAGGCACTGATTGGACTGTTGAGTTACTATTTGAATGGTTGAATCTGAAATCAGTATCAAGACATTTCCCTTAATCACAGTTAAAATAAATTATTTTAGAAATTCATTTTTTTTTTAATTTCTTACAAAAAAAAACAAATACACCATTTTATGCTATCTTGAACTTGTCACATACCACTGCCAATGTAATTGCTGTATCAATGTTAATTCTGCAGTTTCTTCTCTTTAAACCTAACCTTGGGATGACTTTGTGCTGTAAATATTGGAAACTGGAAAAAATTGAAGTCAGGATAAAATATATAATCATATAAGGGATGAAAAAAACAGAACCTGCTTGTGTACTTCTGTTGGTATGTAGACAGGATGTTTTAAATTACATAAGTGAAATTCTGAATAACTTGAGTTATTTCATAAATTTATAGTGACTTTAAACAAACTCATTTTAAAAGAGTACCTCTCCCTGATAAACAGAGGAAAAAGCTCTCAGTGAGCTGAATTAATTTTTTCTGTTCTACCTAGAGCTTGGAAGCATCATGGTACCCTTGGTGCTGTCTATGATTATTTTATAAAAGAATGTATAGGGGCCATGGTGATATATTTTTTTTTTAAATAGTGCTATATTAGTTTCTATATTCCATGGTGCTATGTGAAAGTTAGAAGTGAGTTTTTGAAGCTTCTATGATTTATCTTGTTGATCTTTTTGTAAAAATATTTATTGCTATTGCAGGGATGGAAATTAACACTTTTTCATTCACTTAGTTAATTAAAATAAGTATTGTTTTTTTTAAGTTTTTTGTCCCCAGTAGACCTTTTAAAGTGGTGAACTTCATTATTTACCTAAATTTCAGTAAAGAGACATTCATCTCATTAAATGTTATATATAAATCAAAGTAATGGTGCAATAAAAAGTAAGTGATTTAGAAAGCAAAAATGAAAATGACTGTCATACTGACAGACAGGCCTAATCCTAATCCCCCTCTGTATAGCATTTTCAACATTTATACTTACTTTTCTTGAAGTGTAAACACGCAGTTGTGTGTATAATTTAAGCGATGTGTGTACATTTGTAAATCCTTGTCATTTTACATTTACACTTTACTTATACCAATATCTTAGATTACATTTATAAATGCATATGAGTGTTTAAGAGAAAAATTTATGGTAACAAAATTGCCACATGTTTTGCAGGCATCATGGTAATTTTCTAATATGATTGAGGTAATAATATATATACTTTTTCACTTTTTTGGTCTTTTTAAAAATGTTGTTTGTGCTGTATTTAGCCCCTCTATCAAGAAATTTGTTTTGCATGCACACGTATAAAAATTGTGATATGTATATCCTCATTCTCACATATGCCATACAAACAATTACTAAATTTAGAACTAAAAAACATTGTTATCTTATTTGTAATCTGTATGTATTAAAGTGTGTGTTCCCTTTCTTGTCAACCATGATCCAACAAGTGAAACTGTGAGCTATTGCTCACTGGTGATACCCCTGCTGCATCTGGATACTATTAATAGTGTAAAAATATGTAAGTGTTTGGGAAGGAAGCTGTTTAGTGTTGAATCTGAAAATGCATCGCACAATATAGCTGACTTATATAAAACCTGAAACCAAATGTCAGAAATCCTTGTATTGCAGTGTCTGAGAAAAATGCGACAAAATATATTCATGGGACAGATGGACAGACTGATGGAAAGACAGAGGTAAAACAGTATACCCCCACTGTTTTAAAGCGGGGTATAATAATTAGGACAAATTAATATTTTACAGCAATATACCTAATCTGAAAGTTCTTTTCTTTTTCCAGGATGTAGTGTATCAGTCTGTAAGGATATCCTACATAAAACATTTCACTTATCAACTGCTTTATTTCTGAAATTTTATTGCATTTTATATAAAAACAATAAACACAGAATTCAAATCTCATTCATAATAAATTAAAGTTAAGAAATTATAAATATTCTTTCTTCTAATATATATGCTAATTATATATATTCAATTATTCACTATTGAATCATCTTTTTACAGTCAGTGATACTACTTGCACAAATTAATTTTATTTACCTGTATAGGTAATTAATAATATACCTTTATAAGTAAATTGTTATTTTCATATTTTCTTTGTGGTTTGAATAATCTCCCCTTAATTTTCTCAAAAAATTTACATGTACAAGTATTTTTTTACATCCATAAATTCTCAAGTTTTGGGATGTAAAAACATGTCAGACTTAAACAATTTTTCTCTGGTTAGCTTATAATTTTTTAATAGAGTTCAATGTTACATCTCATTAATTTAACAAAGAAACTAATTGTGAAAAGATCTAATCAATTCTGCAAGGCAACTAAGCTAATAATTTACCTATACAAGTAGATAAAATACATTTGTCTAAGAATCTTAAAAATCTACTTATATAAGTATATTAATATTTACTTCTTCAAGTAAATAAAAATAACCTGTACAAGCAGTACCCCTGACTGTTTAATGTGACCTCCATGATAAAACCAAAAAAATAGGGATCTCTGGTGGTGAATATAAAACGGGTAAGGTCAGCTGAACAAAACAACTTTATGAAATAATTTCTGAAAATCAACCACCTTACACTACTCATTCACTTTCTGAACAAAACTTTGTGTATCAATACAGTTATACTTCAAATCTTATAGAAAAGTTAATATAATATTATATAGTTATTTTTGTTACATGAATTAAAGGAAGAGAACTTTTTTCTTGAAATTAATTCCAGATCAAACTGTATTAACTTTAGAGAAAAACTGTTTTGAAAACAATGTCTTGTGGGTAATATCCATAACTTATTGTATAGTAAAACATCAGTTTTTAATGCATAGTTTGAACAGAAACTTAAAAACATCTATTAAAATCAAATATATATATGTAACACTAACCATCAGGTATCATTTTGAGTTAATCAGGTATTACATGTATATAGATAGACAACCTGAAAAGAAAAAAGAACTAGAAAGATAGACTTTGACATTTCCTATTATCACTGTGATAATGATTATGTATTCTGTAAGATGCTACAACTAATAGCATACTAATGAGTATACTGATGTGTATCACTACTAATAGTTATTACGGTAAGGTTAAATTCCCTATCATTCATTCATCCACGCACGAACTTGTCTCAGATTTTTTTTTATGAAATTACCTTTACCTAACTTTCAGGTATAGATAGGAGATGTTATTTTTTTTGTGCTTGTCACTATCCAAAAGAACTTGTGGTAATAGGATATTCAGTACTTCAGTACTTTGATTTAATATTTGTGTTGTTTTAGAATTTTTATGCATACATGTATATACTATTTATTTATTACTGTACTGTTTTGTTTTCCATTACCATCTAGCACCTCCAAACTGTCATAGGAAATTGGTTGACTAATATCTTAATGTTTTAAAATAAACAAGAAACATGGGACAACTTTACAAATGACATCCTTCTTTAGAGAATTAACTCTGACATGGTTAATCAGAACTAAAACAATAATTTATATATTTATGACATAAGCTAATTAACTATACATTTAACTATAGGTACCAGTAAAATTACCTGAACATCAATATAGCTGGAATGGAGACATATAAAAGCAAAGTTTTATCTGGAAATAATTTTTCTTCAATAAAATGTCCGACACACGAGAAAATTATAGAAAACATGAAACTTATAGCACGTAGATTTTTTTAATTTGTCAGTCATTAATGACTTATATGTAATGCTATTGTTTCTTAATTTAAATTGGTGGCTGTGCAAAATACATGTACTTCATATACATGTACATTTTTACTTCATAATTGTTTAATTTTGATGAAAACCCAAATTCATGAAGCTGATCAGTACATTGTAGCTGCATTTTGGAGATGCAATAACCAAAGCTGTACTGTTGCATGATTTAGAAAAGAGGGGCGAAAGATACCAGAGGGACAGTCAAACTTAAAAATGGGTCTTAATATCTTTTAAAAGGGTTTTAGATTTTTCCTATGTTAACAGTCTGTTACATAGCATTCAACAGAAATGTACCCCAAATGGAGGATCTCATGATATTTTACTGAAAGCTTAAGGTTTATGCAAGTTGTCTTTCCTAATGAAAATCAAAAGATGGAAAATGCAGTATGATTTTTTTTCTATTTTTCTATTGCAGTTCATGCACTTTACATATCTGAAACAATAGTGTAACATCACAACATAGAAAGACATATAGTTTCTGATTTTGGAATACTCAAAAGTTGTTGAATCCAATCTAGCAGATGAAAAATAAAATGATAGAATGCAGTCTAGTCGCTTGTCACTGAAATTGATGATATTTATCAATGTTTGTGATTCAAGGAACTCAATGTCTGAGACGATCATAGATTCATAACTGTAAACGGTCTGTTTATAATTATATTTACAAAAATCTGTATAATTAGCTATTTTTTCAATTTTTTTTTAATCACTAAATTTTGTTAAATCCTCTTCTTATGCACTGCCTACCTACAATGGTTTCTTCCCATTGGTAGTAAATGAAATAATTAAGTCTCAAGTGTTTATTCTATACAATTTACTCAAATGCTGAAAACTGTCCACTGGCAGGAAGTTTTACATAGCATTCAACAGAAATGTACCCCAAATGGAGGATCTCATGATATTTTACTGAAAGCTTAAGGTTTATGCAAGTTGTCTTTCCTAATGAAAATCAAAAGATGGAAAATGCAGTATGATTTTTTTTCTATTTTTCTATTGCAGTTCATGGACTTTACATATCTGAAACAATAGTGTAACATCACAACATAGAAAGACATATAGTTTCTGATTTTGGAATACTCAAAAGTTGTTGAATCCAATCTAGCAGATGGCTCCAAAGTTATTGTGAAACTGCCTATTCTAGAGGTGGCGTGAATCAGATGTGGATACTAAAAAATTCCAAAGATCTTTTAGAGTACATACAATCTAAGACTCTCTCATCTTGCAATAGTATTAAAACATTTGACTTTTCTACACTTTACACAAGTATTCCCCATTCCAAACTAAAAGACAAATTGAAAGAGTTGGTATTACTTTGTTTCATTAAAAAGAATGGCGAACATAGATACAAGTATCTTGTCTTGGGGAGGGATAAATCCTACTTTGTAAAGAATCACTCTGATTCAAACAAAAAATTCTCTGAAACTGACATTATCAAGATGCTTGATTTCTTGATTGACAACATATTTGTTACGTTTGGAGGACGTGTTTTTCAACAGACTGTCGGAATTCTAATGGGAACCAATTGTGCCCCTCTTCTTGCGGACTTGTTTCTTTATTATTATGAGGCTGACTTCATACAGGAGCTTCTTAGGAAGAGAGATAAGAAGTTAGCAATATCCTTTAACTCTACGTTCCGCTATATAGATGATGTTCTCTCACTAAATAATACAAAATTTGGTGACTATGTTGAACGAATCTATCCCATCGAACTAGAGATAAAGGATACTACAGATACAGTTAAATCTGCCTCATATCTTGACTTACATCTAGAAATTGACAATGAGGGTCGGTTGAAAACAAAACTTTACGACAAAAGAGATGATTTCAGCTTCCCAATTGTGAACTTTCGATTTCTATGTAGCAACATTCCAGCAGCGCCTGCATACGGAGTATATATCTCCCAATTGATACGATATTCCCGGGCTTGTGTTTCCTATCATGATTTCCTTGATAGAGGATTGCTGCTCACAAGGAAGCTATTAAACCAAGAGTTCCAAGTGGTGAAGTTGAAGTCATCCCTTCGTAAATTTTACGGACGCCATCACGAGTTGGTTGACCGTTATGGAATAACTGTTTCACAGATGATATCGGATATGTTCCTTATGTCGTAACTACAATACCCTTCCCTTTTCACGAATGTGACTTACCGAATTAGACTATTTACCGGATTTGTAATAACATAAGCAATTCAACAGGTGCCACATGTGGAGCAGGATCTGCTTACCCTTTCGGAGCACCTGAGATCACCCCCAGTTTTTGGTGGGGTTCGTGTTGCTTAGTCTTTAGTTTTCTATGTTATGTCATCTGTACTATTATTTGTCTGTTTGTCTTTTTATTTTTGGCCATGACGTTGTCAGTTTGTTTTTGATCTATGAGTTTGACTGTTCCTCTGGTATCTTTCGTCCCTCTTTTAAGATTAAGAAGATACCATGTTTAAAACAAAAGGGAGTTCACTTCAATAGATATAAACAATTCAACAAAGATTCATGCGAATTGTTTAAAGCGTTTTTGAGTTATTGTCCAACATGTTGATGACTGACGGATGGACAGAAGGACAACTGTATACCATAATACCTACCGTAAACGGGCGTATAAAAAAATAAAGAAAAGAACATTGAAATAGAGAATATAGAATAATGGAGTGTTGTATTGAGTGATTGAAAAATAATGGGGAAAAATATGAAGAATACAGAAAAAATGACCTAAAATTTTGAACAATACAGAAATGAAAGACCCCAAAACCGTATCCAGACTTTTGTATAAAATAAGGAGATGTGGTATGATTGCCAATAGAAACAACTACCAGTAGCTGACAGAATCCAAATGACTAGGGTGTAAGCAACTATAGGTCACCATACAACCTTCAAAAATGAGCAAAACCCATACTGTAGTCAGTTATAATTGGCTAAAAAGATGACCAAATGTGTGTCCATGCAAACAAAAAAAAGAAATGCCCTAATTTAAGACAACACAATAAATGAAAATCAAATTTATAGGCTCCTGACTTAAGAGTATGCATTTATAGAATATGGTGGGATTAGTGAATTTACACATGATTGTTATTGTGCATGTTTTAATTAATTTACCTTAATTGATACTTTGTTACCTTCAGCTGTATATTACAAATGTATTATACATGTACCATTTAACATCAAAGTCAAGATCATATAAACTATACCACAAAATCATTAAACCAGACCAAAATTCTAATTATAACTTGATCTGTAACTTGACATGATATAACTACATACCAATCAAAGGGGCCCCCTTTAAGTGATACTTGTAAAAACTCTGCCTTTATCATAAATGAAGCTCCTTAAAAAGGGCCAAAAAAACCTTTAAATTGTTATGCTGTCTATAAGACACAAACGATACCCCTGCCTGACCATAGGAACTTATAAATTTTACAATATATATGATGATTTAACTGTAGCACAGTAGGAGGAGATATCTGGACAATCACAGTGGCGGATCCAGAAATTTTCATAAGGGGGGCCTACTGACTGCCTAAGTGGGGGTCCGTTTTCAGTCATGCTTCAGTGATTCCCTATATAATCAACCACCAAAAAGGGGGGGGGGGGGGGTCCGGGCCCCCTGAAAAAAAACTCTAAATCTGCCTCTGAACCAAGATCTCTATTTGCAGCTGTAGTACCAAGAAAATTACCAAGTCCAACTTAGGCAACTACAGCTGTGATCAGCTATATAATTGTCACAATATTTGGAAGAAATCAAAATCCTGTGGCCATGCACTTCTTCTTCTTCTTATGGTATCCAGTTATCCATCAGATTTTGATGATTACTAACTGCACACCTTTATTATTTGTATGAACATCCTACAAAATATTAAAGTTGTACCTCCAAAACTGTAGGAGATAGCCGGACAAACAATGCATCTTACGGACGAACAGACGGACGGACAGGGGTAAATTTATACCCCACCCCTATTTTGTCACGGGGGCTTAAAAATCATACAGACGCTTACGCACACACTTAAATATATACATACATACTATATAGTCTGCATGTGCTTGCGTGTTTGAGGTTTTCAGTTGTCTTTTCAACAATAACACCTATCTATCTATCTCAACCTTTCTTGGGATTTGTTTCTTGGTGTAATGAACCAGAATATGCAAATCTAGAGAGTTTCGAATGTATTTCTCGGTTCCGCGTCTGCATTTGATGTAAGTCTTTGCATTTTTATATTTCCCCGCAGATTTTACAATCATAATATTCGGGTCCCGGAGATTATTTTTGGTTTGGTTTATAAAGCCGAAGATTTTATTATTGAAAATAATCTGCGGGCTCTTGATTAAAAGCCGAAGATTTTACAATTGATAATAATCGGCGGGGGTCAGACTTTTATTGATTGATTGTTGGTTGCTTAACGTCCAGTGGCAAATATTTCATGCATATTCAGGACGAGAACAAGTTCACAATAAATACAATAGGTAGGTTCTGTAATAGATTAAGGGATTAAGGTCGGAGAACTTTAGACTGCCACGGGAAATGAGGATATATTGGATAGGGACAGAAATTTAGCCTTGTAACAGGTCACCTACGGACCCCTCAAAGAGTTGTTGCAAGGGTTCTTAACGTGCAAAGAACGTGGCACTTTCTTTACACGAGGCATCGGATTTAACGTCCCCATTCTGACCGGACGTGGCTGCAAATTTGTACATCCCGCACAGCCAAACGGACGCCCCACTTTAGCACGGGTTTTACTGCCGGTCGGAGGAAGACCAATGGTGACCATACTTCTATTCCCCAGTCACCCTTGGGGGCTGGTCAGACTTTTAAAAGCCGAAGATTTTATAATATAATGATCGGCGGTGTATTTTAAAAAGCC